AATATCTCCTTCAGGCAGAAAGAGCAGAAACTCGTTAATGAGCCTGCAGGGTGTCCTACTGGACGTAGTTGGACTATCGTCAACGAAGTGTCGAGGCTCTGGAATTCTGAACCTCTGCAAGTGGAAGCTATTCTACCTAGGTGTCGACTTTATGACGCGTACTCTGGTAGGCGTTGGCCTTCACAGAATGGAAGCATGATAGCGGAAGGGCGGCAATCATTCGGCTGAAGTTACAACAGGCTAATATATTGGTCTTGATACAGGTGAATGTGCTCAGTTAGGAGAAGGATATGAGTCCTTTCTTGAAGAAGTGAAAGGTCCTCTCTACTAAGTGTGGACAACGGAATCCATCATTTGATGGGCAATTTCAATACACCTGCCAGAGTAGATGATGACGAATGAACAGGTGTAACTGGAAAAAAATGATCATAGCGACCTCAGCAATAGCCGCATGACGGTGCTGTAGTTTTGTACAATCAACGGACTGCCTGATATGAACACACTGGAGCATCGAAGCATGCATCAATATACTGGAATGAGAGCGATTTGATAATCGTGTTGCGTCTGGCTTACGACAGTCCAAAATGTATTTTCGCGTTAAGAGGCGCAGAGCTGATAACCAGTTAACACCTTGTTGTCCTAGTCTCCCGGGAAAAATCTATGCAAAGGTGGTAGAAGGGAGGTGCCGCGGAATAAGTAACTCTAAGATACAGGAAGAGCAATGTGAATTCAGGCGGAACACTTTTAAATGGACCTTGGCCTTGCACCAGGCTGTTGAGAAATTGTTCATTCAGTTTACGTGATTGTAGAACTGGGGAAAGTCCGCGATTGGATTTTGCGCAAGCCCTGTTAGCATGCTGACAGACGTATAGGATCAAGGCCAGTTGCTGCAAGCCATCTTTTCATTATATGCTGATAGCAAGCGCTGTGTCAGAATCAGCACCGTTAAGTCGAAAACTTTCAGCGTTGGCACTGCTCTCCGTCAAGACTGCGTCCTGTCTCCTATCCTGTTTGTGTTGTACATGAATGGAATAGTCAGGAGCTGCCAAGGCGATGAGTGTATCGGTGTAGGAGATGTGAAGACGAGAAGGTTACTGTTTGCAGAAGACCTTGTTTTATTGGCATCTTCTGAAACTGATCTCCAGCGATGTCTTCAGCGACGTGGTCGGCATGCGCGTGAACGTAAAAAACCAAACGCTTAGTCCCTTTTCTTTGTGCTGTTCAGGTAAATGAAGAAGAGGTAGAACAGGTGAAGAAGTTTAGGTACCTCATTGTCATGTTTACTGTCGATGGAAAATGAGAGGAAGAGATCAGCCGGGGAATGCGTATGACACGCATCGTTGTGCGTGAACTAGACTGAAGCCGTTGTAAATATAGTAACGCTGAATCTGAAGACTAAGCTCTCTTTGTTCAAGGTTTAAGTCGATCTTCCGCTTGATTACTCACCTAGAGCCATAAGCAGTAGGCCGGGTATAAGTGGCTGAAATGAATTTTCTGAGACGAATCGCTGGGATCACGTGTCTCGACATGGTTCGGAGCTCAGATATCCAAGAGAATCCTTGTGTACAGCTACACTGATCTGTCATCTGAGTGAGTAGTCACAGCTGCGATGGTTTCGACACGTCTTGCTGACGTTTCCAAAAACGACGGCGAAAACCGCTGCTACTTGCACAACCGACCGGCCTAAGAATCTGGGGACAGCTATGAACATCGTGGAGAGAGTATCTCAAAGAGTTCCGTTCCAGACTGAGGTCATCTTCCGCCGTGGCTCAAACGCCTACAGTGGGTCAGAAACGTGATGTACACTGGCTGACGTATCTGCCTCCGCGATTCGAAAGGATAAGTGGTCATCAAAGCTGACTGAATGACTGACTTATCTCGGTTCATCGGTCAATTCGTATCTAGTTTGGAATGCATACCCACAACCAAAGGACTTGTCTTCATTTTGTAAGGTATGAGCAGTTTCCCGCTAAATAAGGTTTCGCTGTTCCAAAGCGCACAACTGCTTGCGTGTTTGAATGTGGTCTGTGCTGGAGCAACTTACTGCGTCACATAGCATTTAATTTGTGATACCTTCTCAAATAGATCAAAATGCACAAATCTAAGTGCCTACGATAGGTACTGAAATGTCGATGATGGGGTAGCTTCCTGACTATGACGAAAGTGCCCTATCTAATTTCGGCTCTCTATGGACACCATAATAAATAATAAATTAGATAAATGGTAAATATGCAGAAATTTATAGCGACACATCTGTGACAGTTTTGAACGAAACTTCAGCGAGGTGATTGGTGGTTACAAATTAGCTAGTACGGAACTCGGCGAAAAACAATGTTTTAGCATTGAATTACTTGCCTTTGACAACTAGCGACTTCCTCAGGGTACATAAACATAGAAGCAGATCACGGGCGGCATAGTCTTACATTCAGACCGTGGTCATGGGTACGGGGCTTTCGTAAACAATAAATTACTATTGTTTGTCTGGATTTAGTCCGACTGTGTCTTAGCCATTAATGTACGAGCCGAAGGTTCGATCCGTTTCTGGCCCAGAGTCGCTAACAGTCTTAAAGGTAATCTGAAATGTTTCCGCTTGTCCGTTTCAAGGCAGATGGTTCGTGAGATTGCTACGAAAAGCGTTTCACTCTTCTGAGAGGTTAAACGTAAAAGGCGTGCGAACCATTTATTCGTAATACCACGTCTACATGGAAATTAAAACTTCATTCTGTACACGTTAACGGTATGATTTAACTGTGTCGAGTGTTGAATGCTGTCACATACCGTGACGACGACGGCGAAGGAAGCGACGATACGGTCAATTTTGACAGTGGGACGTTGTCCATATATTTATCGTCATGACGGCTTTGTATTTTTGAGTCGCGCCGACGTCACGTGCCCCATATATGTCCTGTTTATAACCGTTTGTTCAGATTCATGAACTCCTACGCGGTAACAGCATTCTGAAGGGTGTCGACGAAGGAACGAATAAATAACGCCGTTTCGTTTGAGATCACGTGTCGCCGTTGCAGCGCGATTCTGTATAGTAGTTGTTCTGCAGCCTTTTGTACTGTTCAAAGTGATGCTTCCAATCGGTGATATACTCGTCCTCCCACTTCGCCATCTGCAACTTCCACTTTATTTCCATTTCGCTGAGGTTAGCTATAAAAATAAGTTTAACGTTCGCAGGACGGCTATCATACAGTATACTCGAATCTGTGGCATGAAGCTCAAGTGAAACGGTTTACCGGTATGCAAAAAAATCTATTCTATGCTGCATTTGTACTAAAGACTTCATTATTAACATCGCTCTTGACGTCAGTATTTAAATTATTAGTAAGCGTTTTACAACAAATAAATAATTAAAACAACGCGTTGATCTCTAATGCCATCCTGTCATAAAGTTAATAATTTTTCGCTTAGCGGAGGAGACATGCTTATTTTCTATGATGGGTTTTTCAAGCACGCAAAAAGAGCACTGATGGGAATCCATTTCCCTCATTGTTGCTAAATTCTCCTTGAACACTTTGAAAATCTGACCTGCTCATGAACGTTCGAATCGTTCCCAAGAGGTCGCTAGCGTATTGCGGCATTATTTTCACCTTCTTCCCCAAAGATGATGAAACTTAAACTTTCTCACAGGTCTCTATATTTAGATTTCTTCTAGCTTTAGTCAATGATAGTACAACAGACACAAGCCGACGTTCGTAACTCTCAATGTTGCACCCTTTGCGTCCACCGTTCACAAATAGTTCCGTCATTGGATCGTCCAAGCATGTGGGCTGATCACCGAGTGGAAGTCTGTTACCGAGGGAGATCCAGCTGGTAATTCAGGATACCCACCTGTTGTCTTTCAGATGAGCGATATGGCCAACCCTCGTCCTTTCGAGTTTTAAATAGCAGTGAGTACATCGAAAAACCGTGTCCAATACACAGCTATCGCATTTGACCTATGGGCCCGGAAAGAGATCATACATTTTGTTCCATCGCCAATTGCATTACTACTAGTTTCTTTCCTCAGGTTTGGTAAGAGACCGGCACTCCGCGCCATGAACCATGGTGGGTAGGACGGCTGAACTGAACAGTCGAATGAACTTTCTTTGCGGATAGGGGCAATTGACTATCCAACAGCGACATTTGATGATTTTAACTAAAACTTACTCATGCTGCCTTCCTCATTCTGTTGATCTCCCGCAGATGTTGTTACTGGAGTCTGTCTGGCTGAGGAATAGCTAAAAACTTTCCCACTTCTTCACCGTCAGTGAAGATGGTACCCGCGGAGCAGTGTTCGTTACACATCCATTGTGTCATGGGGACTTTCATCCCCAGATCGTTGGCGTGTGCTCCTTTGGTAACTACAAAACTTTGTTTAAAGCTCTGTCGATTCTTTGGTGAAGATGACGACATCGACTGCAGAGAACAGGTGGGTGTCCCGTCCCGGTCGATGTTAATGCGGCCCTGTTCATACGACCAAAGAGGGATTTGAGCATTGCAGCGAAAAGCTTAGGAGAGATGGTGTCTCCTTGGCGTGTTCTTCCTTTGATGCTGAGATCAAACAACAATAAAAGAAATGTACGCCAAGAGACGCCATCTTCAAAACATGCAGCTGATTATTGAATGAAGAAATAGCTCCATTCATAATTTTTTGTGAATGTCTTAACAGTTAGCTCTAGCGACAGCAATAGAGCAAAAGTATGTTCCAAACCTACTGGCACAGATATAAATTGAGTTTTAATTTGCATAACCATTAAAAACAATAAAAGGTTTGTACCTTACTTTGAACTGTGGGAAAAATAGCTCCTATAGTCTACAGTTATAAGTTTCTTAAAGAAGCAATAAAACACCAAGTTAATACGAAAGTATGCAAGAAGAAATCATGCGCCAATAAACTAATATCATGTAATAATAGTATTTACTTCGATAAGCATGCAAATGAGAGCCTCAGTACCGCTCAATGAACAGCGATATTGAATTGCATATTAATAAACCGTTTTTGCTATTTTATTCAGCATGTAAACTGTGTTTCATT